AAGAAGCTCTCTCACACCCGGAATGGAGAAAAGCTGTGAATGAAGAAGTTGTTGCACTAGAAAAGAGTGGAACGTGGATTGTGTCTGATTTGCCCAAGGATACGAGACCAGTAGGATGCAGGTGGTTATTTACAATCAAATGTAAGGCAGACGGAAGCATAGATCGGTTAAAAGCCCGACTGGTTGCAAAAGGATATACCCAGTCATACGGAATTGACTACCAAGAGACATTTGCCCCAGTAGCCAAACTGAACTCCATTAGAATCCTACTCTCCATTGCAGCAAACCGAGACTGGCCCCTTATGCAACTTGATGTCAAAAATGCATTCCTTAATGGAGATCTTGAAGAGGATGTATACATGGATTTACCGCCTGGTCTTGAAGGGTTCTTCCCTAGTGGCAAAGTATGCAAGCTCCATAAATCTCTGTATGGTCTCAAACAATCTCCCCGTGCTTGGTTTGCTCGATTCACCAATTTCGTAATCAACTGCGGTTATACTCAAAGCTAGGCTGATCATACAATGTTCACAAAAAGATCCAAGAAGAAGATTGCTGTACTTATTGTGTATGTGGATGACATCATTCTTACCGGTGATCACACTGAAGAATTGACAAAGCTGAAGAAGTTTCTAGCCCATGAATTTGAAATCAAGGACCTCAGAGACTTGAAGTTCTTCTTGGGAATGGAAGTTGCAAGATCCAAAATGGGGATAGCCGTAACTCAAAGGAAGTACACATTGGACCTTTTGAAAGAAACGGATATGCTTGGATGCAAACCAATAGATACTCCAATAGACCCGTATAAAAAGATTGGAATGAAAAATGATAATTTACCTGTCGACAAAGGACGATATCAGAGGCTTGTTGGAAGACTTATTTACTTATCTCACAACAGACCAGACATAAGTTTTTCAGTAAGTATAGTAAGTCAATTCATGAACTGTCCTACTGAGGAACATATGGGAGCTGTCAACCGTATCTTAAGATACTTAAAGATGACACCTGGGAAAAGATTATTATTCAAAAGGAATGATAGTCAAAAGGTAGAAGTCTTTACTGATGCTGATTGGGCAGTAGATATATCCACCCGACGATCAACCTCTGGGTATTGCTCGTATGTATGCTGCAATCTAGTGACATGGAGAAGTAAGAAGCAATCGGTGGTATCTCGGAGTCGTGCAGAAGCAAAATACAGAGCACTGATGCTTGGTATCTGTGAAGGAATGTGGATCAAAAGATTTCTCAAGGAGCTTGGAATTATGGGAGAAAATTCTATCAAGATGTT